TCTCTGCCCTTCCCCACACAGCTCCTGCATATGCGTACGCACACTCTTGCTCTCTTAAAAAAAAAAAAAGAAATTCTAAAAGTTACATTTCCCCTCCCAAATCAAAGAAGTCTAATAACAAAAGTTTTTCAGCTATCTTTTGATTAATACATGCTTTATTTCTTTAAACATCCCATATGTAGCTGGTCTATACTATGAATCAGAAAACTGTTGTTTTTGTTGACTCTCAGTCATGGTGGCTTGCCTTCTTTTCTCTCTGTTAATCTTTGTGAGCTCACTGCTCAGTTTTAATTTGGGACTGTTAATGTTTTCCTCCAGAGAAATTGGTTTCTGCTGCCACAGCAAGGCTGCACCATGAATCCAGGATTCCTTCAGACCTGCTTGAGGGTCTTAGCTTAGTAGAAAGTTGTGAAATAGTGTGAAAGTGCTATTAGGTCAGTTAATTCCATCCCTCACAGCTGCCTCTGATTTCTGATCATGGGAGTCTCTGGTCTCTGGTCCATGAGTCCCCCTTCTTTATGTTAACCTATGTGTTTGGGTTTATTTCGTAATGCCTTCCTGTTTCCTTCACCACTAAAGACCCAATAGGGCAAGCCACAAGTGGGAAACCCAGTAAGAGACACAGGCAGGTTGAGAGAAGTTTAATGGCGGTCTGAACACATCCCAGAGAGCCTGTTTTTATCTTCAACCCCAAATAAGAATGGTTAGCTAGCCATGAGGCAGTGATGGGCTTTGCTCATTTTCTGTATAGCTTTGTGCCAGAGGTTTTTTCCTTTAACTTTTTATTTTCAGATTTATTTTTCTCCTTCAGAAAAATTTCAAGGATAATACAAAGAATTCCTATATAGTCTTCAACCAAGTTAACTGTGCCATACAACCAATAGTTTAATCTCCAGACCTTAGATTCTACTAAAAATGCCATTTACAGACTTAAAATAAAGTCTAATTAACTGTATTTTTATATCCATTAACACAAGAAGTTGCTTGAAATCCTGTATTAATACCTCACTGTATTTTAGAAGATGTCAATTACCTATGCTATTTTTATACACAAGTTTCCTGCCTGGTGAATTCTTAAGGTTTTACATTCATCCTAGCTATCTTTTCTGTTTGCTGTTTCTGGTGACTCTCAATCATGAGGGCGTATAATTCAACTCAAGACATCAATGACCTGTGTTAGATGCTAAAGGTCAAAATTACCACAAGTGGAGCTCTAAACAGTATATCCCTCCACCTGAATTTGGAGTTTCTTTTGAACAGAGGTTTCCAATAATATTTGAGAAAAACTAGCCTGTTTTGGCCTTAAAAAAAAAAAAAGAAAACTTCATACTAAATGTGGATACTGAGCAACATCCTTTTCTTCCGCATCTACATTCTTTCCACTTAACACATCAGGTAAGCTGTGAGTATTTCGTGTTATACTTCTGAAATTGATGACAAGGACTAATCTACACTGAAACCAAAATCTTAATAAACTCATCAATCTTAAATATTCTAGGTCTAAATAACACCTATGCATTTTTCCTTTAGGTTATTCTTAGTGACTTTATTGAAATATAAGACAGGTACAACAAAATAAACCCGTATTTAGTGTAGAGTTTGCTGTTTTCACAAATGTATACACCTATGTAACCACCATGAAAATCAAGATATACAAATTTCCATCAGCCCAAAAAGCTCCCTGGAAATCAACCTGTGATCTATTCTCTGTCATTATGATTTAGTTTTATCTACTTTAGAATTCCAACTAAATGGAGTCAGGCTTCTTTAACTCAAAATTATGTTTTTCAGATTCACCCACACTGTTGAATGTATCAGCACTTCATTTCTTTTTATTGCTCAGTATCATTTCTTCAGCTGGATATTGTAGTTTATCACTCACTTGTTGATGAACATTTGGGTTTTTTCCAGTTTTAAGCTATTATGAATTAAACAGGTATGAACATTTGTATTTATGTCTTTGTGGAGATATAGATTTTCATTTCTCATAGAAAAATACCTAGAGGTAGCACTGATGATTAACTCCATGAGAAAATACCAAACTGTGATCCAAAGTGGTTGTACCATTTTGCATTACATTACATTTACAGTGGATAAGAGTTCCAACTACCCCTCACAGTATTGTCTTTTAAGTGGTGGGGAGTGGTGTCTTGTAGTTTTAAAATGCATTTTCCCAATGACTACTAGTATTAAGCATTGTTCATATTCTTGTTGGTCATTCATATATCTTTGGTGGAAGATCTGTTCAAATCTTTTCTCCATTTTTAATTGGTTTGTCTTATTATTATTGAGTTGGAAGAGGTCTTTACTTACTCTGAAAAAAAAGTCCTTTGTGAGATGTATGTACTGTGAATATTGCTCAGTCTGTTCTTGTCTTTTCATTTTCGTAATGATGTCTTTCAAAAAGCAGATTTTAATTTTAATGCAGTCCAATATATCTTTTAATCCAATTTTCCTACTATGGTTCATGCACTTAAGTGTTCTAGCGGAAAACTGCTCATTACCCCAATTATACAACAATTTTACCTTAAGGAAATGTAGGAGATTTAGGTCAATGACTGACTTTTATAAATAAATTCCTTTGTAATTTCTTTATTGATCCACAGACTAAGTATGTTGTTTAATTATTTGGTTTCCAAATATTTGGAGTTTTTCTAGATATCTAATAACTATTTATGTAAAATTTAATTCCACTGTGGAAAGAGATTATATTCCATATGATGTTTTTTTTTAATTGAGACTTATTTAATTGGCCCAGTATATGGTCTTGCTGACCATACCATGTGCCCTTGAAAAAACCATGTATTCTGAGTGTATTATTCTATAAATATACAGAATGTAAGAATCCTCATCTGTGACTCTTTCCTTTATAAAATGTTCTTCCTCACATTCCAGCAGCTGTGGTAGCCCCAATCTCTGTCCTCAGAAAGATTGCTGAATTGCTTGCGGAGTTTTAGCTTCCTTGCATGTAAGACACTGAGATTTAGCCATAGGATAGAAAAAAAAAAAACACCCAATGTCATTCCCTTCTTCCAAGCAAAAAATAAATAAAAAATCTCCAGAAACTTTCTGCATTTTGTCTATAGTTTGTTATTTTTATCTGCAGAAGGATGGTTCCAATCAGAGCTTACTTGGCCATCACAGAAGTGGAAGTCCTCCAAATAAATTTTAGAATCAGCTTGTTGATTTCTGCAAAGAAAAAAAGCCTACTGGGAATCCAATCGCTATTAATTTATAGCTCAATTTTGGGAGAACTGTCAAGTCAACAATGTTGAGTCTTCCAATCTATGAACATTGTAATTTTTCCATTTATTTAGATCTTCTTTAATTTCTCTCATTATATCATTTTTAGTATATAAGTCTTACACTTCAGTTAAATTTATCACTAAATATTTGATATCTTATGCTATTCTAAATAGTTTTTAAATGTCTTTCCCAATTATTCATTGCTAGGAATATATAAACACAACTGATTTTTTTTAAAGATTTTATTTATTTAAGACACAGTGAGAGACTGAGAGAGAGCATGCACGAGAGAGAGCATGAGCAGGGGGAGGGACAGAGGGACAGGGAGAAGCAGACTCCCCGCTGAGCAGGGAGCCCGTCACAGGGGGCTCAATCCCAGGACCCCGGGATCATGAACATGCATACATTTGGGAAGCTGAGCTGAAGGCAGACACTTAACCAACTGAGCCACTCAGGCGCCCCACAACTGATTTTTTTTTTAATTGACCTTGTATTCTTCTCAGACCTTGCCTATTACTTCCAGTAGCTTTCAAGTCAATTCTTTAGGGTTACCTATGTATACAATTGTGTCATCTATGCATACTGATAGTTTTATATCTTCCTTTCCAATCCACATACCTTTTGCATCTTCTTCATGTCTTACTGCACTAGCTGGGGGATTTCCAATTCAATGGAAAACTGAAGTGTCATTTTCCTGATCTTAAGGAGGAAAGACTTTTTCGTCAATAATGATTTTAATTAGAGATTCTTCAGTGATGTCCTTTACCAGGTTGACATTCCCTTGTATTCCTAGTTTACTAAGATATAATATAATATAATATACATATTTTATATTATAAAGTAAAACTAATATAAAGTTTGTTGAATTTTTTTCAAATGCTTTTCTGCTTCTACCGAGATAATCATTTAGCTTCTTCTTTTGCTATACTAATAAGATGAACTGCATTGATTGTTTCATATTAATCCAGTTTTGCCCTCTTGAGATAAACACTATTTGGTCATGACTTATTATCCTTTTTTGCACTGCTGCTTCATATATTTTGTCCAGTTTTGTCGTTGCTTTACAGTAAAAGTTCAAAGTCAGTACCAGTTACTCCAATGTGGCTAGAAGTAAACCCACAAATAAGTATTAACCTTAAGCCATGGTTAACAGTGAAGAAAGAAGTCTAGCAGTTACCAAAGTAGATGGTGGTAAGAAGAGAGCCTTGATCCCACTAATCCTATTATTCATTCTGCCTATTCCTGAAGTAGGATATATACAAGGAACTCAGTTCGACTACAGTCAAAAAATATTCAATAATTCTCTGTTTAATAACAGTTAACCTACAAATTGGTATAAAAAATAAAGCATGCCTATCTCTTACTTCTTTAAAAGTTACCACCTTAAAACCCAGAGATCGCTACAATCTTCATTATCAATACATGCCTATTAAATTAAAATGTACAAGTAACATTTTGAGAGACAAGTATTCAAACCAGAAAGAAAATCAAAATCCTGACCTATAACTGCTTAATATAGGATGTATCATCGTGTAATGTTAACACAAACTATCAGAAGTATCATGGCTATCTTGCAAAGTTCTATTGCCTATCCTAGAAAATTAAGAAATGAGTATGCCCTAAAAGAAAAACAGGCAATCACTTTAATCTGTAAAAATGGTTTGCAAACTATTTTATGTTCATAGATAAGCATTTATTAAACAGCTTTAAAATTAACGGCAGCAACAGAAAATATGTACCGTATAATGTACAACCTCGAAGGGTCTTTTTCCTTTTTTCATTTGCAGAGGCCTTGAGGCTTCAGAGCGGACACTCAGAAGGCAGGCTGCCAGTATCAATTCACACTGAAGCAGAACTTCTGCCAATGAAAACTGAAACACCTGTATGAATCAAGTAAATTGTTCCCATTTTCAACAATGAAAGGAAATTAAAAGCATTACGGAATGTCACTGACTTGGCCCATCTGAAAGGAAATAACGTAGATAACAGCTAATTTTAAATTATCAAGCCGATACAATACAAATGGCTCTCTAAAACAATATGGGTTATTTTTACTATGAGTCATTCAGTTTTCCTGAAATGTGTGGATCAAATATCTCAGGAACAGCCCTACATTATGACAACCTTAAAAAAATAAAGTATTCCTTTTAGGATAAGCTCTGACACTGCTGAATGAAAACCTTCTCCCAACACATCTCACATATATTTCAACATGCTCCACCAATAGGAAAACACTACTAAAAATGTCTCCAAAAAAGAGATATTACCATTTTAGTCAACTTTAAGACAGTTCACTAAAACTGAACAAAATTCAGGAATAATTCATTTATTCAATAAATATTCAACAAATATCCGATAGTAACTACAGTCCCCATCCCTTCAAGTGCTTACAATCCACTGGTAGGAGTATGAAGACTTGTATTATTCTTGCTCTTCTATTAACTAAAGATACTTCCTAGTCTCAGGATTTGATAGGCCCAGTTCCAGGCCCCCACACCGCTGCCACAGAAGGGAAATGGCCGCCCAGCTGGAAAGAGTGTGCCCTTCCTTTCCTCTCTGCTCCCTTCTCCCCCACGTCTACAGCCAATTTCAAACAGATCTTCTCCACTTAGGAATTCTCATTCCTTGAAAACAGAATGCTCTCCCGCAAACCAGTAATGAGATGGCCCCGCTCATCCCTGAAGCTATGGGTGCACCAGCTCTACCTACTCAAAGATACTTTCAGGACATTCTCGAATTTGATCCTCAAAGCAAGTTTTCAGGGCTGAGGAAGGGGCACACCCCCCTTCCCTCATTGCACAGATGAAGAAGATAAAACAAGCGGTTATCCTTCACATCACATAGCACTACCTAAAATTATAAAACTAAGTGGAGCAATGCTGCATCGAGTTATGGGACAGAAATAAATCCTCTCCAGGGTTCAAGCATATTTCATTCATTCTTCTGCATCCATTTATTGAGCAACAGCTATGACTGAAGCATTGAAAGACTATACGGGGTCTTGTAGAAGACCCAGAGAAGAACAGAGCCCAGTCCCTGAAATGGGGAGCTTATAGTCTTGTGGGAGTGATAAGACATAAACATAAATAATTATAATATAAGCCCAAATATGGTCCTTGTTAAAAGAAAGGCACAGAAAGAAGTTCAAGAGTTCAGAAGGGGGACAGCACCTGAAAGTGTTCCCTTTTGCCTCAAATAGTCTTTTGGAGTAATAGATAAAGGATCTTTATATACAGGATATTCAATTATATAGGATATAAATTTCAATGAAATTCTTCATTGAAACCAGGGGCCACTTCTAATTCATCTTATTATCTGTTTCAGTATCATGCACAAAGAAGGAATATCAGGAAGGACTGATAAATGCAAGATGAGTTGACAATGGCTCATCTGGATTTTTCTAGTGTAGTCTGTATGCTTCCTTTGGGATCAACAAAAGAAAGGGGTGGTGCAGATCACAAAGTATCCTTGGGGCTCCTAAAGCCGTCCTCACGTATAAGTTCCATGCTCTACTTTTTATGAACTAAAGATTTTCCTGGAATTAAAAAATTCATCTCCTTAGAAGAGTCAGGCCTGGCACTAGGCATTACTGTAATCAAACAGTTTTCCTCCAAAAAGATCAGTCCTCAGGTCAGTTCTGACTTGGATGAGAGTTGGAGGAGGACAGAGAGCAAAAAAAGGATGTATTATAAAGCCCTTGGGGGAAAAGTATGAAACTCAAATTTATGATCTTCATTGCAAGTTAGGAGAGATGAGTTACCCACCCCAGAGGTTACCAGAGTTAACTACTTCAGAAGAACTTCACAGTAGAGAGGAACAAGAAGGCGGGGTGCTGGGGTAGGGGATCGGAAAGGCAAACGAGAGACTAAGAGAATCTTAACTCTAGGAAACAAACTGAGGGTTGCTGGAGGGGAGGTGGGTAGAGGATGGGATAACTGGGTGATGGACATTAGAGAGGGCATTTGAAGTAATGAGCACTGGGTATTGTATGCAACTGATGAATCACTAAATTCTACCTCTGAAACTAATAATACAGTGTATGTTAATTAAATTGAGTTTAAATTTTAAAAATTTTTAAATAAAAATAATTTAAAAAGAAAGAAACAGGAAAAAAAAGGAAAAGTTTTTTAAAAAGGAAGAAATATATCCCCACCAACTGGAAATGCTAAAAAAAAAAATTGAACTGCTTGAATATAGAGTATTTTAGTGTCTTTTTAGGATAACTATGGATAATACATATACCTTGATAAACTGCTAAGACCAGTCCTAAGAAGATGTTATTACTGACCTCCTCCCCATCAGAGGCCAGCAGGATCACTTCCTAGCACATGTTAGCATTCTGTTTACCCCAGTCATCAGAAGAAACCCAAGTGTCCTGGTCACATTCATCATCTAGACACTTGTCCCCATCCAGCTCTGTACTTCCCTACAGTAACTCAAACTCACCACCATTCCAGATCCTCCACATCCTTCCCACTGAGATCCTCCCCACCACCTTGTCTAAAACAGCCCTCCTCATGCCATTTGTATTCCCTTACCCGGCTGTATGTCCCCAGAGCACATCTGTTAGATACATTATTTCTCTCTTGGTATACTGTGTACTGTCCCCACAAGAATGTAAATCGATGTAAACGCCAAGAGGGAAAAGACTTTGTTGACACTGTATCCCCTACTACGAGCACAATGCTTGATACATATTCAGTATTCAATAGAGATTAGCTGAATAAATAGGAAATACAGAATAATTTTTTAAATTAACCTTTTAAAAAAATGTTTAACACTTGTCAAATTCCTTATAGCTTATGTAATGAATAAACAGGGATATTTCCATATAGTTACCTAAACACAGATATGCTATCATCATAAACACCAAAGATTTCTAAGATACTCAAGTGAGAAAATAAAGTAGGCACCCAGAGGACTCAAGGGATTAACATCCAACCAGCTCCAAAACCGTAGGCAGGGAACAGTAACTTGCAAAATTTATATTACAATACAAAGTAAGCTAGCTTTTCTACAGATAAAAGTACTTCATTTTTGCCTTATCTGAAAAATAACAAAGAAAGAAAACATCAGAATTCTCTCTTGATTTTAACTATAATAAAAATGCCTTTGAAAAAATTATCTTAAGCAACTTGTGCTCATCAAAGATGTGCGTTATCTTTTCATCCATAAAGCTAAGAAGATACTGACTGACCCTTGGGTCTGTGACTTTTCTGTTCATCCTCACACATCTATTACTCGATCTTTCCTTTTCACTGCCATTCTTCTCCGATTGTGGTCTTTATCAACTTAATTTTCTTAACAGCCCATTCCCTCCTTAATTCCCTGTAATGAGGTGACTACACAATACTCCACTGAAACTGTCCTAGAAATAAGCAGGGCACTCCTGATTAACAGCACCCACAGCCCTTCTCCTCTCGGCTCTACAGTGCCGAATGCTGACAAGCACCTCATGCTCTCAACAATGCCTCCTTCCTCGGCCTCTATAACCCACACCCTCCTGCTTCTGGTCCTCGCTCTCTGACGTCCTCTTTCTCATCCCATCCCTGTGGGCATCACCCTCAGTTTTAGACAAGAGAGGTGCATACTATAGTGGCTTTGGAGTGAAGAGTCAGACTCTTGCTCTGTCATTTCATTTATTCATCGAACATTTATGGAGCACCTACTAGGTGCGCTCCATTAGACACTGAACAAGAACTGTTTGGCCACTGCCCTCAAATCCAAGCAAGTACAAAGAAAAAGGCTTATGTTTACATCAACAGCAAGTTATATGCAGTTTGGAAACTAAAATGGCGAGGTATTCTTCTCTTTAATTTCCTTAAGTGGCAGTGTTTCAACATGAGCAATCTGAGCCAAGAATGTAACAGAAGCAATAGAACGCACAAGGAAAAACATGCAACGGAAAGGATGAGACATGACTCACCGACGTAAATGTCAGCAGCTCCTCTTCAGTCAACTTATGCACTGGGTTATTCTTTTGGAAATTTGCGCTTTAAATTACAAAAAAAAGTAAATTAATTCTAAAATGCATGTTGTTAACTAATGAAATAAAATTTTTAAAAAGGCAACATAAACTTTATATATTTCAAAGCATGTATTTTAATATTACTGCATTATATACCAATAGAGATACAAGTTTTCCAAAGATAAGTATGAAAATTAATAATGTAATAAGTAAGTAAGTAATAAAATCCACAAATGGGGTGCCTGGGTGGAGCATTCAGTTAAGTGTCCAACTCTTGGTTTTGATCTCGGGGTCGTGAGATCAAGTCCCACACCAGGCTCCGCACTCAATGCAGAGTCTGCTTGGGTTTTTCTCTCCCTCTCCCTCTGCTCCCCCCCCAAAAAATAAATATTTTTTTTAAATGCTGACAAAATGTGGTTGGTACTAAATGTCAACATAATTAATTTTACTAGGAGAAAGAAATCCAATCTGTGCCCCTTCACAAAGAAAATGAAAAGAATTAACATGGCACCAGCTCCTATTTATCAAACCCATGCTAAAAAAATAAAATATTACTGTGACCATTAGGCAAAAATTAAGAGGTTGTCAAAGAGGCAGAACAATGGGAATTCTTAGATCCTGCTGATCCAAGTATAATTTGATAGGACAATTTTGTTAAACAATTTAGCACTATCTTATAACATGAACCTTCATATATCCTTAGCTCAATAATTCCATAGAGCCCAGAGAAATTCTTGAACAGATGTACCAGGAATCTATACACAAATATCCATAGTTATAGTGTGTATAACAGGAAAAAATCTTGAAATAATCCAGATGTCCAGAAGGAGAGTGATAAAATGAGAAATATTCACCCAATGGAATGCTATAATCCAAAGTAAATGGTAGCTACACATAAAACATGAATGAACCATAAAAACATAATAATGAGAGGAAAAAAACAATCACAGAAGACTACATAATAGTAAGATACCACTTTTATAAAGCTCAGAAAAAAAAAACAAATAAAACAATTGACTTAGACGTATAAAAACATGTAAGTAAATATATTTTTTGAAAAGGCAAGAAAATGACAAATAGAAAATTCAGGATAGTGGTTACCCTTTTTTTTTAATTCAAGTATAATTAACATACAGTGTTATGGAAGTTTCAGGTACACAATATAATGACTCAACAATTCTATATATTTCTCAGTGCTCAAGATAAGTCTACTCTTAATCCCCTTTATTATTTCTACCTGTCTCCCCCACCCCCACCCCTCTGGCAACCATCAGTTTGTTCTCTGTATTTAAGAGTCTGATTTTTTGTCTCTTTTTTCCTAGCCCCACTGTTTCACCAATCTATCATCTCTAAGAATTCACCTTCTCTGCGTTTCCTTTCTAAACTAACCCAGTCTACTACAATGTCCAAGTCACCTCTCCATAGGGATAATGGCCATGGGGATTACACAGAGATCAGGCAGTATTACAAAATCACTGTTTACAACCCCCACAATAACTCAGTTGATGTAAATCATCAATTCACTAATGTTCTTATCTGTTTATAAACACTGCCCATCAGATACCCAAGATTTAGACAATAATGAAGTAGTTTCTACCAAACAGGGAAGATTTAAATTGCCTATAAAATCCACTCAGCACTTCTAACTGTTCCATATATTAAGATTCCACCAATACTGTATTTGGAGGAAAAACCGGTATTTGAAAACAGCAGTTTTCTGTTTTGTTTTTTAGTCCTCTCTCAACTGTGAAGTCTAACTCATTATACCTAAAGCTCAACTAACAGAATCCCTGGGCATATGTATATTTTGTTTAACTTTGCTCTGTAATTCTGAGCAAGTCATTCAGCCATTTGAACCCTGATTTCCTATCTGAAAAATGGAGAAAGTAGCCTCTAGGGTTGCTAGAACATTAATGAGGGGTAATGTGGAAAGTGCACGGTGCAATTCCTAGCATGTGCAACTGCTCACAAATGGTTGCTATTTAAATTATTTACATACTAGTAGCTGGCCGGTTAGCTCAGTTGATTAGAGTGTGGTGCTAATAAATTATTTACATACTAAGAATCATTATGAATTGGACAATTTTTCATTAGTAAGCATAAAATCTATCACTAGAATCAAATCATGTGATAGAACAAGAGATCTGGGCTTAGAAATAGCTACCGGGGAGGGCGCCTGGGTGGCTCAGTCGTTAAGCGTCTGCCTTCGGCTCAGGTCATGATCCCAGGGTCCTGGGATCGAGTCCCACATCGGGCTCCCTGCTCGGCAGGAAGCCTGCTTCTCCCTCTCCCACTCCCCCTGCTTGTGTTCCTGCTCTCGCTATCTCTCTCTCTGTCAAATAAATAAATAAAATCTTTAAAAAAAAAAAAAAAAGAAAGAAATAGCTACCGGGTGCCTGGGTGGCTCAGTCAGTTGAACATCTGTCTTCAACTCGGGTCATAATCTCGGGGTCCTCAGATCGAGCTCCACATCGGGCTCCCCACTCAGTGGGGAGTCTGCTTCTCCCTCTCCCTGGTCCTTCCCTCTGCTCATGCTTTCTCTCTTGCTCTCAAACAAATAAATAAAATCTTCAAAAAAAAAAGAAACAGAGCTCTATCTGTATGTGTGATCCCTTATACCCGAACAAGAGGACTAGAGGACTGCATTCAACTTTTATGTAAATGAAATGTGAAAAAGGGGTATAATGCTATGAGGGGGAGACAAAAGGGTAAGGTCTACTGAGTTAAGAGACAATTTTGTTTTGTTTTGTTTTACAAATTACCCATTACTAACTTGACTGTTCTAAATATTGGAACTTTGTGAATACTCCATTTTGAACATTACTAAGTCTCTAGATGAGAAATGAGATATTTATGTAGTCCAAACGTACCTTCCCACAAAACAGTACTTACAAGGGTGAAAAAGAAAAACTTTACGATGAAGAAGCCTGGCAAACACGGCTTCAATCATGTGATTAAAGTTAACATCTGCAGTAGTGGGACAAATCAAAACTGTTCCACTGCTAGGATGCAATAAGAACCATAAAATATGGGGTGCCTGGGTGGCTCAGTCAGTTAAGCATCTGCCTTCAGCTCAGGTCATGATCCCAGAGTCCTGGGATCAAGCCCCGCATCGGGCTCCCTGCTCAATGGGGAGCCTGCTTCTCTCCCTCCCTCTGCAGCTCCCCCTGCTTGTGCGTGCTCTCTGTCAATAAATAAATAAAATCAATAAAAAAAAAGAACCACAGAACTTCCCTTCTCTGATATCCATGCTAATGATGCATAATGCAAATCTAATTGTAATTTTTTTTTAAATAAGTCAAATTCAAGAGGCAAAGTCTACAAAGTAACTGGCTTATAAATTTCAGAAATGTCAAGACCATGAAAGTCCAGCAAAAATGAGGAACTATTCCAAGACTGACAGTAATTGGAGAGACAATGACAACTAAAAGAAACACATATATTCTACCGTGGGCCCTGTGCTACAAAGGAGATTACTGGGACAACTGGAAACCTTGAATGGGATCTGAGTATTAAATGACAGGAGAGTATGAATGTTAACATCCTCATTTTGATAGCTGTATTGTGGCTATGTACAAAAAATTCCCGTTTGTTGGAAGCACACGCTAAAGTATTCAGGGATGATACAGTATCATGTTAGAAAATTATTCTCAAAAGTTCTCTGCAATGTCTTACCCTTGCAACTTTTTTCCAATTTTGAAATCACTTTAAAATTGAAAAAAATAAAAATAAAAGGAAAAACTGTTTCCAACACACATAAGGTTCGACAGTATTAAGAAATAATTGTATCCTCGGGTGCCTGGGTGGCTCAGGTGGTTAAGCGACCGCCTGTGGCTCAGGTCATGATCCCCAGGTCCTGGGATCGAGCCCCACATCGGGCTCCCTGCTCAGCAGGGCGTCTGCTTCTCCCTCTCCCACTCCCCCTGCCTCTCCCCACTGCTTGTGCTCTCTCTCTTAAATGAATAAATAAAATCTTAAATAATAATAATAATAATTCTATCCTTTGGAATGTAAATATCCTCAAAGGTCAAAATAATCATTCTCAACTCTCCTAAATATTTTATTAAAAGCTTATTCCTAGCTAAGGCTAGCCAAAGAAATTTTGCTTATGAAGGAAAGAGAAGGTGAAGTTATACTAACTCAAAGGAGATACCTGAGATTCCTAATCTCTAACCCTTTACTTAGTTGCCCAGCGGAGAGCACTGGTAGTTTAGTGGTAATTGGATGCCCCACTATTCTTGATCCTTCTAAGCATAATAAGATTCCCTATTCATCCAGAACTCGGGGCACCTCCTGGAATAAAGTTTTCCTCAGCACAAGAAAACCAATATGCAGTGTTCAAAGTAACCAAGTAAGTAATTGACTTACCAGATTCCAAGGACAACAGCAAGCTCTTCAGCACACAGGTCAGGCATCTGAAACTGCTCACAATCCGCTAACTTTATCTCATTTAGAACAGTATCATCATTGAGCTCAAGATTCTGGTGCAATACAAAAGAAAATATTTAAACCAAAAATTAAATTTGATTCATTCAACACACTGTATGCAACTGATTACTAAGGAGGGAGAATTCACCTTTTTGTTTAAACATTATCCAATGTCTACATATGGTCAATAGGCTGTTTCTTGTGGAACACATACTTGGGGATGGTTTGCTGCATAGAACTGGAGGACATGGTGCCTATATCTCAGGAAGGCACTGGCGATGTCAATAACAGGGAAGAAGAGCTATCACTCAGGGGGCCCAGGATGCAAAAGCCCCTCTGCTGATGCATCAGGATTTAAAATCAGGTCTTTCTACTCTGCTCTAAATTCTAATCTGAAATATCAACTCCCAATTCTGTTTCTCAACAGGATCTAGAATAGCCAAAACAATTTGGCAAAGAATAAAATCTGAGGACTTAGGGGACTTGATAGAGTACCTGATTTCAAGAAATACTCCAAAGCCAAGACAGCGTGGTACGGACATGAAGACAAACATACAGATGAATGGAACAGAATAGAGTCCAGAATTTTAGACCCACATATGTCAAATGATTTTTAACAAAGGAAAGTCTTTTCAAGAAATGATGGTAGAACAACTGGATAGCCATTTGGAAAAAAAATGACCCTTCACCCTTATCTCATACCACACACAAAAATTAAATCAAAATCGATCACAGACCTTAATCTAGAAGCTAATACTAAAAAACTTCTAGAAGAAATCACAGGAGAAAAGCTTTGCAACTCTGGGCTAAATAGGCAGTCCTTAATTAGGACACAAAACACCTAAACCATCAAGTGAGAAAAAACTTACTAAATTGAACGTCATCAAATAAAAACTTCTGTTCTTTGAAAACATTGTTAAGAAAATGAAAAGCCAAGCTGCAGACTCAAGAGATTATATTCATAAAACAAATATCTGAAAAGGGGCTTGTATTCAGAATATAGAGAACTCTTACGACTCAATAAGAAGATAAACAACCCAATATAAAAGTGGACAATGGATTTGTTCAGGTACTTCATTTAAAAAGATATACAAATGGCCAATAAGCACACAAAAAGATCCTTGACAACAGTAGTCCATAGGAAATACTAATTAAAGGGCTGACAAATACTAAATGTTGACAAGGATCTATAATAATTAGAACTTTGACACACTGCTGGCAGAAATTTAACATGATTTACAAACCACAAAAAATATTTTGCCAATTTCTTATAATAATAAAGATAAATTTACTACAGGAGCTATCAATTCTACTCTAAGTGGTTACCATGAGAAATAACACGTCCACACAAAGACATATATATTAATGTTCATTACCATTTTATCTGTAGTAGCCCAAAACCAGAAACAACTCAAATGACTGTCAATAAACAAATAAAAGAAAAATTATACTATATCCACCTAATGGAATTCTAATCAGCAAAAAAAGGACTATTACCACATGTAACTATATAGGTAAATCTCAAAACATCATGCTGAACAAAAGAGGCCAGATACAAAAAAGTACATATAAAATTCTAGAAAAGGCAAACTATCTGTACTCAAAGAAAACAGATCCATGATGGTTCAGAGCCAGTGTGTTGGGGGATTAACTGCAAATGGGAATGATGGAACTTTCTAGGGTAATGAAACATACATGGACTGTAATGGTTGCATAGATAGATATGTATATGTCAAGTGTCATCAAACTGAATGGGTTTAATCTCATCAATTAAAATGGGTCAATTTTTCTGTATATAAATTCTATTTCAAAAAAATTGATTTTTAGGGATGCCTGGGTGGCTCAGTCAGTTAAGCATCTGATTCTTGACTTCAGTTCAGGTCGTGATCTCAAGGTCATGGGACTGAGCCCTTCAATCCCAAGCAGTCTGCTTGGGATTCTTTCTCCCTCTTCCTCTGCCCCTCCCCCTGCTCATGTGCTCTCCCTCTCTCTCTCAAAAAATAAATAAATCTTTAAAAAAAATTATTTGGGGCACCTGGGTGGCTCAGTCAGTTAAGTGTCCGACTATTGATTTCAGCTTGGGTCATGATCTCCATGTCGTGAGATCGAGCCCCACATCAGGCTCCACACTCAGCGAACAGTCTGCCTGAGATTCTTTCCCTCTTCCCTCACCCCCTGCCGCGCTCTCACCCATGCTCTCAAATAAATCTTTTTAAAAATACCAAGCATTTACAACTGGCACTCATACACTGATGGTTGGAATGTAAAATAGCACAACCACTTTGGAAAACAGTTTGGCAGTTTCTCGTCAAGTTAGAAACACACTGGAGCGCATGGGTGGCTCAGTTGGTTGAGCAAACAACTCCTGATTTTGGCTCAGGTCATGATCTCAGGGTCGTGAGATCGAGCCCCACATGGGGCTCTACGCTGAGCAGTGTGCCTGCTTAAGATTCTCTCTCCCTCTTCCTCTGCCCCTCCCCCACACACATGTTCTCTCCGTCTCTCATTCTCTCTCTAGCATAGAAAAAAAAGAACACATTTACCACACAATCCAGCCACTCTAATCCTAGGTATTTACCCAAGAGAATTAAAAACATATGTTTACACAAAGATGTACACACAAATGTTTCAAGCAGCTTCATTGATAATAATCAGAAATTAGAAGCAGCTCACCTGTCCACCAACAGGTAAGTGGATAAACACACCGTCCACTGATGGACCTAAGTGTGCATGCCTGGATGAGTGGATTAAGAAGATATGGTATATATAATGGAATATTATTCAGCCATTAAAAACAAAAACCAGGAAATCCTACCATGGGTGACAACTTGGATAGACCTTGAAGTATTATGCTAACTGAAATAAGTCGGAGAAAGACACATACTGCATGATCTCACTTGTATGTGGAATCTAAAAAAAGAAATCAAACTTGTAGAAAAAGAGATCAGACTTGCGGTTACCAGGGGCAGAGGGGAGGGGGAGGGGGAACTGGAGGAAGGTGGTCAAAAGGTACACACCTCCAGTTCCAAGACGAGTAAGCACTGGGGATGTGAGGTACAATGTGGTGAGTGCAGCTAACACTGCTGTGTGACCAACAGCAAAGCTGTGAAGACAGGAGAGCCTAAGATTTCTCATCACAAGTAAAAAAATGTTTTTTCGCTTTTTTCTGTTTTTCCTTTCTTTTTATCTATATAAGATGGATGTCAGCTGAACCTATTGTGGTAAACTTTTTACAATATATGCAAATCAAACCATTATGCTGTATGCCTTATATTTATATAGTGATATATGTCAATTATTTCTCAATAAAACTGGAAAAAGAGAATTATAACTTAAAAAAACATAATGCTAAGTGAAAGAAAACAGACACAAGACAGTCATACTGTATGATTCCATTTATTTGAAATTCTACAAAAAGCAGCTCTAATCTGTGACAGAAAGCAGACCAGTGAGAGGGAAAGTGACTGACTATGAAGGCGTATAAGTGACTTTCTCGTGTAATGGAAATGATTCTATTTTTATTATGGTGGTGGTCATTCCATAGGTCTATTTTTCAAAATTCAAACTGTACATTTAAAATAAAATAGGCACAACTTTAATTTAAATTTTTTTCTAGTTCAATAAAAGTAGCCAAAACTAGGAGCTAAATGGACCAGAAGGCTGGAAACCGCCTCTGGCTAAGGGGTCAACCTCTTAACTAGTAAGCAGTACATCTGCCCAAAACACAGCCCAGAGGAACAGCTTTCCTTGTCTATCCTCAAGTTCTCCCTAACTGTAGGCTGAGGCTCTATCTGCCTTTTAAGAAAAGAGTACAGCAATCCCAACAAATTGCTGATGGGAGGAACACAGAACCTTACGCTTCAGCTCAGAATCCAACTGAAAAAGCGGCTCTTCCTCCCAAACGGGCCCCTTCAAAGGCAGGGCAGGCGGGTGCAGAGCGCACCCTGGTGGCCATCGTTTTCAACACAGGCCTTTCATAATTTAAAAACTAGAACTACGTATGTAATAGCCACACTTAAAGTAAAAAAGTAAACTTTTAAAAATGATTTAACCGAATAAATCCAAAGTACTATTCTTGTAATATGTGTCAACAGAAAATTATTAATTAGATATTATACATTCTTTTTTTCATACACAGTCTATGAAATCTGATATGTCTTTCCCACTTCAGCACCTCTCAAATTGGACCAACCAACTTCCCAGTGATTAACAATCACACGTGGTTGATGGCTACCATAGTGGACCATGTAGCTCTACAGTATCCCAAAATTCTCATCTTTTCACATCCTTAAAGGAATGCATCCACTTATTAAAACACAATGTTTTCTTTGGTTTTTTGCTTGTTTTTTGGTGTTTTTTTTAAAGATTTCTTTTTAAAGATTTATTTATTTGAGAGACAGACAGCGCACGTACGAGTGGGGGAAGGGGTAGAGGGAAAGAATCAAGCAAACTCCCCACGGAGCACAGTGCCAGACTCGGGGCTCCATCTCAGGACCCTGAGATCATGACCCGAGCCGAAACCGAAAGTCAGACATTTAACTGACTGGGCCACCCAGGCAACCTTAAAGATTTTATTTTTAAGTAATCTTCACACCCAATATGGGATGCAAACTTACAACCCTGAGATCAAGAGTCACGCGCTCTGCTGACTGAGCCAGCCAGGCGCCCCTAATACACAAGGTTTAGTAACACATCCGTACGATAGCTTTACAAATCTAATCTGATCCTTTAATAAAGTGTGATGTGGGAAAAACAAATGAGGAACCTAAGGCTATCAGAACTGTCCCAGATTCTCCCCCTAGGCTAGACAATAAGGATGGGACAGAGACCCAAGTCTCCTGCCATGCCAGGACTCCTCCCCTCCACCACCAAAGATCTGAGATATGTCAGGGTTGGCAGCATGGCATTATTTATTTGCCAGACACAAGCAAGTAATCAAAAACGGCTTTGATCTTCATGCAAAATTCTCTATGTTCCTATTCTGCTCTTTTGAAATTAAAATGGGTCTGCTGCAGTACCTACTTACCTAACTGTTCTGCAAGTCCCAAATTTAAAATATTGTTCTACCTCAGTCCCACCTGGACCTCATAACATTCTACCGAATCAAGAAACTAGCACGTAATTTATCTCCAATACGCAGGACACACACCATATTTAGCATTAAGGCATATTTCTCATCAGTGAGGCTGATCATGTATGCATTTGTGTTTTTTGTGAATACACAATTGAACAACTAAGAACAGACTGTCCTTTTTTAAGACTTTTCTTTTTTTTTTTGAGAGAGAGAGAGAGAGCATGAGTGGGGTTGAAGCAGAGAGAGAGAGAGAGGGACAAGCAGACTCCGCACCAAGCATGGAGCCGGATGTGGGACTCAATCCCACAACCCTGAGATCAAGACCTGAGCCGATATCAAGACAGACGCTTAGCTGATGAGCCACCCAGGCATCTCAAGAACAGAGATTGTGTCTTTCATTTGCACATCGGGGTTGCTCCTAACTGTTGGCTTATTAAACCCTGATCTCCAATGGCTTAAGTCTATGTAATTCCCCATTAATAACAGATTAAAAATCTAGGAAGGTCTAAAGGGAAATATGTTCCTCACTGGCAATAAAGTTACTGTTTCCTCAATTCTAAGATACACATATTCACACTGTAACATTTCTAATCAGGATATATTTTGTAATAACTAAAATTGGTATAATAGTGATCCTTTTTTTTCCCCCAAGGATTGGTTATTAAAAAGATAGTGTACTTTAGGGACACCTGGGTGGCTCAGTCAGTTAAGCGTTTCCCTTCAGCTCAGGTCATGATCCCTGGGTCCTGGGATTGAGCCCCACATCGGGCTTCCTGCTCAGTGGGGAGCCTGCTGCTCCCTCTCCCTCTTCCTCTGCTGCTCTCTCACCTTCTCTCTCTCTCTCAAATAAATAAAATCTTAAAAAAAAAAGAGAGTGTATTTTATAATTTAATAGTGCCTTTGATATAAGGAAACAGGATATATAACTAATTAAATAAGCAACTGTCTTCTGCTCAAAAGTATAAAGCAGTTTCTATCTAATCAATACCTACATCATATAATTTTTACCTTTTACCTCTAAGTAGTAATTAAGATTATCTGAATGTATTTTACTTCAAATATGAAAGATTCAATAAATTCTATATTAAATTGTATATCATCTTTTTACATTCCTCATAATAGTCATCATATCCTATTTATCATCCCAGGAGACAATTTTCTTTTCTTTTTTTTTTTTAAGATTTTATTTATTTAAAAAAAAAGATTTTATTTATTTATTTGACAGAGAAAGAGAGAGCACAAGCAGGGGGAGTGGCAGGCAGAGGGAGAGAGTGAAGCAGGCTCCCCGCTGAGCAGGGAGCCCTATGCGGGGCTCGATCCCAGGACCCTGGGATCACGACCTGAGCCGAAGGCAGACGCTTAACCAACTGAGCCACCCAGGAGCCCCTGAGACAATTTTCAATAAGAGAACTCCATATAAAAAAACAATAAACAATGGATTACTGAATTAAATGTGTGGACTGCAGAATGGAATCTCTTTTCACTGATGCTTATGCGATGGCCTAAAAATCAGGTTTATGGCAGTTAATCTAAGAGTTAGGGAGGAGCTTGGGTTACATCAAAAGGCTTAGGAAAAAAAGGGGGATCTAAAGAGGAGACGCCATACATGTAATGAGGGAAGAAGAGAGGTCTGAGGCTGGTAACAGCACCATGTTCCCTGACCAGCATCAACACAGCAGTAGAAACCCACTTCACTACAGCTCAACCCGCATCACGAAGTATAGACAGCACTGTGTAGTATTATCCCTGAGTTTCTACATCTCTCCCTTCCTCCCTTCCTTCCGTCTCCTCTTAGAATCAACAGCGGTTCCTCCCTGAAGTTATCTCAAAAGCAAACAAAAGAGTGCTTGGAACAAGCCCAGCAGTGTGCAATAGCTCATCAAAGGCTTTCCCTGGGACTCCTGACTGCTGTCACTCTTTGTTCGCAGCCCTAGCCCCTCCCCTTGGCACTATTTTCCATGCAGAATAGAATTTTAATGTTCAGTGTACCCAGGGTAAATTTGTTTATAGGCTCTGGAATGAAGGGTAGGTTTCAGAGACAGTAACATCAGGCAAAGGACAACCAGAAGTGTTGGCTTGGAATCTCCACAGTAAGAAAATATAAATGCTAATGACCTCTATGGAAGCAGATGGAAAGGCATTTAAGTAGGTAAACTGACAAAAAGCCGTAAATTTAAGCTACAAGAAGAGAATGCATGGGGCTGGCTGAGTTGGTAGAATATGTGACTCTTGATCTCAGGGTTATAAGTGCAAGCCCCCACTGGGTGTAGAGACTTAAGAATAAAATCTTAAAAAAACAAAAACAAAAACAAAGAGAATGCATTAGCCAAGTCAAGAAAAACATAATAAGGCAGCAATCAGCCCAATAATGACAGTAACAAAGGATCAGAACTCTCGTAAAAAATTCTTATCATCTGTTTATATATTTTGAAGAAGCCTAAGAAATTTCAAGTCTCTTAATATTCAAAAATATCCACAGAAGGCAAAAGTTAAGGCAACAAATACAGTAGCAGCTAGAAAAATTAGGCTCTACCCAGTCTGTCTTTTGAATTTTTTCAAGGAAGAGTAATACGTAACTGACTGCATTACTAATTCATATTACTGAAGTCTAAAAGAAAAACGACATTTTATCTCTATTTAAGGGTAAAAAAGGCTTAAACACACGTTGGTTTGCTTGGGTATTTTCTAAAACCCCCAGCTACCATGAAAAAGCTCAAGAAGGAACAAAATGAAGCCTCTTCCCAAAACATTCAGTGTTACTACAAAACTCACCTACTGAACCTGTTAGATTTGGATGGTAATTTAAATAACTTACGCTCCTACTCACCTTGGTTAAATGTTCCTGAGGAGTAGGTACTGGACTGAATTCACAATGTGAAAAGGCATCCCCTTCCCTTCTTACATCTAGAATAAGTTGTGCCACATAATTTTCCTGGAACCGTGTCCTTTTCCCCAAAGCACCTGAAAAAAACATATTAAATTGTCTATCAGATCTACTGTACAATCATGAAAAGTAATATTTTCAGAGTACTTTAAAGTCTGTAAAGGTATTTACTCCATTTCACATTAAAAAAAAAAAAAAAGACCTGCGACTCGGTGATTATCTTAAAACCACTTATAAAATTATAAAGCCAGGGGCAGAAAATAAAAAATAAAAATAAATATAAAATTATAAAGCCAGTAACCTATGGGGCCAGAACCCAAACCCAAGATTTATGCCACTAGATTACAGATACTCACTTTTTTTTTTTTTTAAGATTTTATTTATTTATCTGAGAATGAGAGAGAGAGGAGAGAGGGTCAGAAGCAGAAGCAGACTCCCCGCTGAGCAGGGAGCCTGATGCGGGACTTGATCCTGGGACCCCAGGATCATGACCTGAGCCGAAGGCAGTCGCTTAACCAACTGAGCCACCCAGGCGCCCCTACAGATACTCACTTTTGCATCAAACTACCTCCTTCCCCCAAAATTTTCATAGGTAGAAGAAGTATCATCATCCTCATATAGCAGATGGAAAAACAGAGGTTCCGAGGTATAGTTACTTGGTTAAGATCACGGGGACTTTCAGTCTCAGAGCCAGAGCTTAAAGCCAGGGTCTCCAGGTTCTAAATCCAACAGTCTTTCTATTATTCTATCTGGCTTCGTTTAACACCAACATTTTTTCCATTTTATATCCGAAATAACTTGCTACAGAATAGCTTTAATAGAAGCAACAGTTCTAATATCCACTCTCTGGCAAGCTTCAGATTACAAAGACCCTTGATTGTAAAGACCAGTCTAAGAAGTCTGGATTTTATCCTGCAATGAGTCTGGATCTAAATTATACATCAACCTTTTAAACATGCTACACAAAAACAGCTACTGAGATGGTCTAACAGCTCACTTTTTTATAGAAGGGCTACAGTTTAATGGAAAAAAATAGTAATCTGATTTTCATTTTATATTTGTGAGTACCACATTTGTATTTTTAAGTTCTTTGCTCTTAGCTTGGAAAAAAATATGAAGAACTAGCTAGTAAATATACCAGCAGTTAAAGCTGACTATACAGAATACTGTGCCATTAGTTTTTAAATAGCCCCAAAAAAGTCCCAGAGGGCCAAAACATTTAAAAATATAATCTCTGAAGCTAACCTCACAAGTTATATTATATAGAACTATATTTTCAAATACAGACAAGACTCCAACTTACATATGGCCATTGTTCCGAAAGTTCTAAGCTGGGTATTTAATAATTTTCCCCATACAAACAATGTAACAAAAGATGGCTAAGATCCCAGACCAGGCCACAAAGTCATATTTAACTCATAATATACTTGAAAGATTTTATTGACAAGACCAGCTGAATAGGAAGCACAGAATTTAGGGGGTAAGAATGGACCTTAGAGTAATCTAGACGAAGTCCAGGAAGGACAAATAGGTTCAATCCCTTCGACCTTCACAGACACAGCCTGGAATGCTGAACTCAGGTTCCAGAGGTGTAAGTGGTGTGCTCGAACTGATACTGTGGGACTTCATTAACACGATCAATACTGAATGGCAATGATATTGTAACACCCCAGGGATAGAGCAAGACATAAAAAGCGACCAATATTTCTTTTTTGTATTCGGAAGAAATACAGAGGTTTCTGGAGAAATTCTTTAACTTATTTGTTCATTCAACAAATGTCTGAGTGCCAACAATACGCCAGCATGCTAAGGCACTGAATCTAAAACAGTCGACAATTTCTGTTCTGAAGACAAAAAAAGCAGATGGAAGCCATAGGTGGGTATTTACAAGAAAGGGCAATGTAAAGAGGCCACACCAAATGTGGGAGTCAGGAGGAACTTCAGGAAACTCACACCCATCAACAAATGGTCAAAAGTTCATTTGTGGGGGCGCCTGGCTGGCTCAGTCGGTAGAGCATGTGACTCTTGATCTCAGAGTCTTAAGTTCAAGTCCCACACTGGGCACAGAGCTTAATTTAAAAAAAAAAAAAGAAAAAGTTCATTTGTGTACTACCTGGCTACCATATATATATATCACTAACACGTGGCTAACCAGACTGGAAAATAAAGGAGAATCTCCAGGAATAAAGAAAATGTTTCATTTCAGACTTGTTCTAAAACTGTGAATTTTTTAAAATAAAATCTTTAAAACCAATTTTTTTAAAGCAAAGAATAGAACAGAAAAAATCAAATGTAACCAAACAATACAGCCAAACTGCCAATGTTTATATTAGTTTTATCATAAAAATAAGTCAATCATCCACAAAAAGTAACAAGTCTTACCTGTCAAATCAATTTGTAATTTGCTGATGTCTTTAGCAATGTTGAACTGATCTTTTGCTTTTGTATATTCATAATAATATAAAAATATATATGCACACTCCAGATGGAATTGAATAGCCAAATACTGACCGGAAGCACCTACAAACAGATCCTCTAGTTTCATCACTGCAAGATATAAGATGAAACATTAAAAACTATGATGAAAATGAAAATCTATGATTAAGTAAAATGAGCAAATGACTAAAATGTTGAGTCCACAGTACGTGAAGCATATATATTTCACAGTCCCTGCTCTTAAAAAATTTTAAATCTGGAAGATGAGGAACACAAGTACAATCAAAGTTCATAGCCAGCATTCTCTAAGCATTCACATGTTCCAAGCAAAAAGCTAAGGACATTACATACATCCCTCCTTTACTCCACACAATCCTAGGAAACACAATTCATAAACCTGCTCTAATTTTAGAGTGCTTGGTTTGGGTTTGTTTTTTTTTTTTTTTAAGATTTTATTTATTTATTTGACAGAGAGAGACACAGCGAGAGAGGGAACACAAGCAGGGGGAGTGGGAGAGGGAGAAGCAGGCTTCCCACTGAGCAGGGAGCCCGATGTGGGACTCGATTCCAGGACCCTGAGATCATGACCTGAGCCGAAGGCAGACGCCCAACGACTGAGCCACCCAGGCGCCCCTAGAGTGCTTGTTTTAATTGTGCTATTAAAAAATATGGCAACACAAAGTGAAGATGCAAAGTACCAAATGAATCTACAAAGAGTTAAACACTACAGAAAATCTAATGGAGAGATCAGCTTAAGGTTTCCCTCATAAAGAATGCAGAAGTCCTCCCTTCAAAGGAGAAACAGATATACAAAGATATATATGACCATATTAATATCAAATATAGAATGCATATTGGTTTAGCAGTCAGATTCTGATTTCTCTAAATACCTGAGCTGAAAAGATGGGAGGATAATAACCTGATAACACAGTGACTGAAATGAAATGACTGTCAAAATTAATTATATGTAATAGAGAAGTCAGCTGACACACACCAAGTTGCAGGGGGCATCTACAGGTCACCCGGTCCAGACCTCTACAATATCCCTGACAAACTATCCCTCACAAATGCTTCCAGTAATGGGTTAGTCAGCATTTCACACAGCAGTCCACAAGAATTAACACATAATGTGAAACTAATATAACACTGTACACTAATTATACTTCAATTAAAAAAGAGTTTTTAAAAATGTTAAAGAACTAATGCATAATAAATGAACAGGAAATGCACTTCCAGTGTCCCAAGATGGGAGAATCTGTTCTCTACCATTCAAGCTGAAAGGGAAGGGATATACACTGAATGCCCAATCTGCCTGGCATGAGGTATTTTACACATCGTGTTATTCTCACAATGATGTCTTTGAGGTTGACACTATTCCTGTTTGATTCATTAGAAACTTGAACTCAGCTTACCGACTAGTCACCTTAGTTAAGTGGCAAAGCCAGAATTTGAATCGATGCTTATTGGGAAAACGGGGGCGAGGAGGGAGTTGGCAGAGGAAGAATACGTGCGTAGAGATGCCATTACACAACCCGATCTCCTTCATCACCTAATTATCTGACAGAAATACTTATAGCAATGAAATAGATATCTTTTATTTTCTTCTGAACCGAAATTAAAATGAGTCTGAAAAAGGAGGTGTTTTTCTTGGGCACCTGGGTGGTTCAGTCAGTTAAGCATCCAACTCTTTATCGCAGCTCAGGTCTTGATCTCAGAGTCATGAGTTCAAGCCCCACGTTGGGCTCCATGCTGGGTGTGGAGCCTACTTAAAAAAAAAAAAAGTGTTTTTCTATATACTGCCAGCCCTTTAAATAGAGATTCTCTGGACTCAGAGTAAGTCAAGATGTACATGTCTTACTTCAAAAGACAAACAGGTCTTTTTGAAGAACATGAACTTCTCACAATGAAACTCCTTCAGTAGATCTCCTCCACACAAACCAAACTCAAGAAAAGCTGGAACTGGTAATATTCAGTGCTCTTAGTGCTTTTAATTAACTTTCTTTCCCTTTGCCCATTACTCCTGAGTATCTAGCCACTTTTCTCAGAAATATAGTGACCTTCTATCATGCTAGCACAGTTCATAAGTGACAGGATTCTTCTTAGCTGTCGATGACAGTTATCTTCCCAAAAGGTTCTGGGTACAAACATATATCAAGGGATGTGAAACTTGGCCAAGGTTTTTTAAAATCTCTCAATAAACACAGAAAGGCTGTTTTTGCATTTAAGCAGACGTCTGATGGATAGTGCTGTAGCCATGAGAGCCATTCCCTAGCTCATGTAAGCCTAGGGAAGGCTATCAAATTTAAACTAACCTAATAACACATAAATAGGGTGCCTGGGTGGCTCAGTTGGTTAAGCGACTGCCTTCGGCTCAGGTCATGATCCTGGAGTCCCGGGATCGAGTCCCATATCGGGCTCCCTGCTCAGCAGGGGGTCTGCTTCTCCCTCTGCCCTCTTCCCTCTCGTGCTCTCTGTCTCTCATTCTCTCTCTCTCAAATAAATAAATAAAATCTTTAAAAAAAAAAAAAAAAAAATAACACATAAATAAGTCACATAAATGCCCAAAGCTGGTTCTCTGTATTATCTCCCCTCCTACCCACCTACCTATCTGTGTGTGTATGTGTGTGTATTTGTATAATTGGCTTTGAGCTTGTACTTAGGTTTCTTCTACATCTTATGTGTTCAGGGGTCAAAGATTGTTAAATAAAATAGGAAGATAAGGGGCGCCTGGGTGGCTCAGATGGTTGAGCGTCTGTCTTCGGCTCAAGTCGTGAACCCAGGGTCCTGGGATCGAGTCCCGCATCGGGCTCCCGGCTCGGCGGGGAGCCTGCTTCTCCCTCTGACCCTCTCCCCTCTCATGCTGTTTCTCTCTCGCTCGCTCTCTAAAAAAAATAAATAAAGGGGCGCCTGGGTGGCTCAGTCGTTAAGCGTCTGCCTTCGGCTCGGGTCATGATCCCAGGGTCCTGGGATCGAGCCCCGCATCGGGCTCCCTGCTCTGCGGGAAGCCTGCTTCTCCCTCTCCCACTCCCCCTGCTTGTGTTCCCTCTCTCGCTGTTGCTCTCTCTGTGTCAAATAAATAAAATCTTTAAAAAAAAAAAAATAAAATAAAATAAAATAAAATAAATAAAAATCTTTAGAAAAAAAAATAGGAAGATAAGTCCTGATTTTTTTTTTTAAGATTTTATTTATTTATTTGAGAGAGAGAGAGAATGAGAGATAGAGAGCACAAGAGGGAAGAGGGTCAGAGGGAGAAGCAGACTCCCCACTGAGCAGGGAGCCTGATGCGGGACTCGATCCTGGGACTCGAGGATCATGACCTGAGACAAAGGCAGTCGCTTAACCAACTGAGCCACCCAGGCGCCCTTAAGAATTAGTTTAATCTTTAAATTCCAACGGCATGTTAAATTACTTTTCCAATAAAAACACTTTTAAAAAGCTGGATTTAGGAGAACCTGGGTGGCTCAGCCAGTTAAGCATCTGACTCTTGGTTTCAGGTCAGGTCCTGATCTCAGGAGTGAGATCGAGCCCCACATTGGGCTCTGAGCTTGGTGCAGAATACTTGAGATTCTCTTTCCCTCTCCCTCTACCCCTCCCACTAATGCTCTCTCTCTCTCTCTCTAAAATAAATAAATCTTAAAAAAAAAAAAAAGCTGGATTTAAAGTCTGCATTTAAAATGTCTAATATATACCACAGGCCAGACAGGGCCCCAGGCACCCAATGAAAACCATGGCTACAGCACTAAAGCCTGGTGAGCCTGCCAAGGGGAAGCCCTTTATTTATTTATTTTTTTTTTTAAGATTTTATTCATGGGGTGCTAGGGTGACTCAGTCAGTTAAGTGTCTACCTTCTGCTCAGGTCATGATCCCAGGGGTTCCTGGGATCCAGCCCTGGGTGGGGCTCCCTGCTCAGTGGGGAGTCTGTTTCTCCCTCTCCCCCCACTCATGCTCTCCCTTTCTCTCTCTCTCTCTCAAATAAATAAAAGCTTAATAAAAATAAAGATTTAATTCATTTATTTGAGAAAGTGTACACACATGCACGAGGGGGGATGGAGACAAGGGGGAGGGAGAGGGACAAGCTGACTCCACGCCGAGCGTGGAGCCCAAGGTGGGACTCAACCTCTCAACCCTGAGATCATTACCTGAACCCAAACCAAGATTCCTACACTTAAGCGACTGAGCCACCCAGGCGCCGCTAGGGGAAGCCCTTTAAGCTCCTAGGAATTTTAGATGCTGAAAACATTCCCTGTGCACGGGATTCAATGTTATATGGTTCACTAGTATCTGCTGTGGCTGGCCTTGGGCATTTTTTGTTAACTAGTAAATTTAGAAGATCACGTGATGTTGGAGTAGGAGGATTAATATTGGTGACTTTAGGATGCTGACTCAATTGTCGGTATAATTATGCAAAGCTAAAAATCCAGGAAAGAATTGCCAGGGAAGGAATTAAAAATAAGATTTTATATGAAACTTGAAATGTAAGTATGTAAGTATGAAAGTACCCACGTTGATCCTGAAAGAAAACAAACCAAGGGCAATGGCAGCAACTGAGCAGAGTCTCAAGCACAGAAAACCCAAATACAAGTCACTGGAGTCAGTGTGAACAAAGCCGAGGTCAACTACATTAAATGCTGTAAGTACTATAAGGTCTGTGTAAAAATAAGTAAATAAATAAATAAAATGTGTAATATATTTTTATGTTAACAATTGTGCTGAGAACAAAGGAATCCTCAGAGAACAAAAACTAAATGAAAACCGAACCTCAGGAATTAAGCATGTACTGACACCATATTCTGCCCTAAAGCTAACTACCGAAGCTTACGGACCTGGGAATTTCATTTTTATGGCTGCAAGGAACACCAAAGACAAAAGATGAGGAGGCCTGGACCACCCAGAGCGGCCAATCTAGCAGGAGACTGCATTTGAAGCTGAAACTCAAAGAACTGTATCTTCACTGAAGGTTAAAAGGAGATAAGTCGGCCATGCAGAGAGGTCAGCAAGAAAAATGGCACTAGGAGAAGGGGAAAAAATGTATCCTACGAATTCATAATCATAAGCCAGCCTTCACAGATTTGTGACATCACGTCAAAACAGGAAACTGCTAGCCAACTCCA